CCCCTGGTCGTCAGCACACAGCCCCTCTCCCTCTCCACTCTGCCTTATAGGATCACTGTGAGTCCACCTTAGCCCTCAAATGGACTTCTTTGCTCTTCTTTAAAGTGTTGAAGAGCAAAGATGTCCATTTGAGGACTAGGGTGTGCCTGACCCTAGGTATTTTCAATAACCTCATATGCATGTAAGTTGGAAAGTGAATAAGGAAGACCATAGAAGAATTGATGCATTTGAGTTGTGGTGTTGGAGAAAAATATTAAAAGTACCATGGATTGCCAAAAGAACAAACCAATCTGTATTGGAAGAAGTACAGCCAGAATGCTCCTTGGAAGCTAGGATGATCAGATTTTGTCTCTCATACTTCAGACATATTATCAGGAGGGACCAGTCCCTGAAAAAGGATATGTTTGGTAAAGTGGAGGATTGGAGAAAAAGAGGAAGACCCCCAACGAAGTGGATTTGTACAGTGGCATCAGCAATGAGCTGAAGTGTAGCAACGATTGTGAGATTGGCCCCAAACCAGGCAGTGTTTCATTCTATTGTGCATAGGGCTGCTATGAGTTGGTACCGACTCGATGGCACCTAACAATAACAACATGAATCTACTTAGTGGCAACTGGTAAGGCAGAATGGCATCAGGAATTAAAGGGAGGGGATGGATTTCTTCGATTATTATGGAAAGAGCTGGACTAAACAGTTAAGTGACCAATTGGATATGGGGGAAGTGGGAGAAATTAATGATGACGTCTAGATTCTTGGCTTCTGCACACAGTAAAGGGTCAATTCAGGTGTGGAAATGATCAGTTTGAAATGCCCATGTGTCATCCAAGTGGAGGTGTCCAGGAAACAGTTGACTATGCCTGACTAACATTTCTCACAGAAGAAATCTAAACTGGAGATTGAAAGAGGTTTGGGCAAGGAAGAATGAACCTGCAGAAATAATTGAGATGAAGTGTGAGGAGGGTACAAGTTCTAGTCCGGCTGACCTAGAGTTAGGTTTTGTGGGGAGACACTGAGGGTAAGTAGATAAGATAGGGAGAGAAAGCATAGGGTTTGTGAATGGAGAATGAAGATAGGTCAAGGACAGAGATAAAGGCAAAGAGTTCTGAAGGATGGATGTGAGGAAAGATGGAGCCAGATAGAGTCTGTAGGGAAGTAGTAGGAAGTAGAAGGGGCTCAATGAGAAGAAAGTGACAAATTGAAGTGCATGTACCTCTGGGCTGGAACCTGAAGAAACAGAAGCAGTGACTGCCTTGTTTTTGTTTTCTCCAAGGCCATCTGGGGACAGTGAGCCAGGCTGGCAGCCTATGCCTTAGAGGCAGGCTTCTTGATTTTAGAAGAAATATATCTTTCGATTAATTAAACAAAAACAAAAAAGACTCAGGGAATTTTATAAACATAATCTGTTGACTTCTTGGTTTTTAGTATCTCCTCTTGTTTGTTGCTAAGGACTTTGGCTTAATATAGAAACTGAGATTTCTGGAATTTTGTGATTTCAGTTTCCCTTATGAAAAAGAACCATTTAGCTGCTAAAGAAATGAATTATGGATAAGTCCACATTTATTAATCACCTCTGAAAATAGAAAGGAAATTAAAATCTAAGAGTCCACTCTGACTGAAGACAAAGTAGGTTTGTTACCCTTGCAGAAGACCTTGCCAAGGTAAGAAGGCCACAAACAAACCAATTTGGACCGAGGTTCCTAATCCAGATTTTAATTTCATGTGCTTTGAATTTTTTCATACCATTTTTTCTCCAAGGTAAAATAATGACTATTTGAATTGTCTGCCACTTACAGAGAGACTCCAATAAGCATGATGGCATCCGTATATTTTTCTCTGGCATTCTATGTGTGCTCCAGTTCTTATGATCAAGCTGGTGAAACTGACTTTTACTGCATGCTGCTGTATGCCATGATCAGTTGACTATAAATTAAATCCTCTTTTCCAAAAACCATTTTCCATTAGTGCTAATTTGTTTGCTTCTCATTTCCACTGATCATTAGAGTCTCTGGTTGTGAGCACCAAATTGGAAATAATTTCTTTGACATTTCAAAAAAATTTCTCCCCTTCTTGAATGCCATTTGGCTTCAGCTAAAGAACATTATGGTTTGCAGAGGAACAGTTCACTCCAATTACAATTTAACTGACCGTTCATGGCACTGAATCCTTGTCCTTAGTGTCCAAAGATGACACTGATGCTGACATTGCTATTTCCTATCATAGCTGTAAAATGCCTCACAGACTTTGCACTGGCTTTCCTGGATGGCGATTCAGCCACTCTGCACATTGCAGCTTTGGGAAGTTGGTAATTTTATGGACCTCCATATCATGGGCATTCAGATAGAACCTTCTAAACAGGGGCAGGCGGATCAATTCCTCATTCATTCATCCAGGGAGCATTTATTAAGCATCTATTTTGTGCCAGGCATTATGCCAAACCCTGGGAACACATATAGGAAAGATCAGCCCCTACCCTTGAGGAACACATACTCTAGTTGAGCGATGCAGTAAATTTTACAATGTAGTAGGGAAAATGTAGTTTAGATGGGACCACAGAGCAGAGATCCCCCTAATAGTCTCTGAGAACTTGCCAAAGGGCAAAAAGAAGGTTGACCAGTTCTGATGGCAGAGCAGCATTCAAAGGGAGAGGGACCTGAAAAGAACCTATGGAATTGGGAAATTGAAGTTTGTTGTAATGTGAAAGTGACTAGAAATGAGGTTAGCTTGTGGCCAAGTTTTAAAGGGCCTTATGTGCTACACTGAGTTGAGACTTTATCCTTTAGGCCAGAGGGAGGAATTGGAGGCTAAAAAAGCAAAGAAGTGTCCTGGAAGCTTGAGGGATAGGTAGTCAAGGAAAGGCTTTATTTTTGTATTTACTTGGATTGACAGAGATTGAGTATGTGTGTAAGACAAGTCAGAGAAGATAGATTGAAGCTAGAAGGGATAGAATCTAGTAC